ATAGATGCTGAAAAACATTCGACAAAATCCAGCACCCATTTCTGATAAAAATGCTCAGCAATGTGGGAATAGAGGGATCATACCTCAACATAATAAAGGCCATATATGAAAGACCTACAGCCAACATCATACTCAATGGGCAAAAACTAAAAGTATTTCCCTTAAGAACAGGAACAAGACAGGGATGCCCACTTTCACCACTCTTATTTAACATAGTACTGGAAACCTTAGCCACAGCAATTAGACAAGAAGGAAAAAATAAAAGGGATCCAAATTGGAAAGGAGGAAGTGAAACTGTCATTATTCATAGATGACATGATATGATACATAGAAAACCCTAAGGACTAAATCTACTAGAGTTAATAAATGAATTTGGCAAAGTAGCAAGATACAAAATTAACATCATGAAGTCGATGTTATTCTTTTTTTATTTTTATTTTTTTTAATTTTTTTTTGGTACGTGCCCCCAGCGGGAACCGAACCTGGGACTCTCCGGTTCGCAGGCCGATGCTCCAACCGCTGAGCCAAACCGGCCAGGGCTCGATGTTATTCTTATACACCAATAATGAACTCACAGAATGAGAAACTAAAAAAAAAAAAAATCCCATTTACCATTGCAGCAAAAATAACTAAGATACCTACGAATAAACTTAACCAAAGAAGTAAAGGACCTATTTGCAGAAAACTGCAGAACATTGAAAAAAAGAATAGAGAAAGAGATAAAAAAGTGGAAGCACATACCTAGTTCATGGATTGGAAGAATTAACATCATTAAAATATACATACTACCCATAGCAATCTGTAGGTTCAATGTAATCCCTATTAAAATAACAATGACATATTTCACAGAACTAGAACAAGTACTCCAAAAGTTTATGTGGAACCAAAAAAGACCCCGAATAGTCACAGCAGTCTTGAAAAAGAAGAACAAAGTACAAAGGATCACAATACCAGATATCAGGTTATACTGCAAAGACACTGTAATCAAAACAGCCTGGTACTGGCACAAGAACAGGCATATAGATCAATGAACAGAACAGAGAACCCAGAAATTGACCCAAGACATTTAATATTTGACAAAGGTGGCAAGAGCATACAATGAAGTGAAGACAGCCTCTTTAATAATTGGTGTTGGGAAAATTGGGCAGCTACATGCAAAACAATGAAGGTAGACCACCAACTTACACCATACATAAGAATAAACTCAAAATGGATAAAAGACTTAAATGTGACTCATGAATCCATTAAAATTCTAAAAGAAAATGTAGGTACCAAAATTTCAGACATCACCTGCAGCAGAATTTTCACTGATACAATGCCTAAAGCAAGAGAAACAAAGGAAAAAATAAACACATGGGACTGCATCAAACTAAAAAGCTTCTGCACAGCAAAAGAAACAACCATCAAAATGGAAAGAGAACCCACTATATGGGAGAGCATAATTGCCAACAATACATCAGATAAGGGGTTAATTTCTAAAATATATAGAATACTCATACAACTCAAGGAAAGGAAGACAAATAATTCAATTAAAATGAGCAGAAGACTTAGACATCTCTCTAAACAGGACATACAAATGGCCAAGAGACATGAAAAAATGCTCAACGTCACTAATCATCAGAGAGATGCAAATTAAAACAACTATGAGGTATCACCTCACACCTGCCAGAATGGCCGCCATCAACAAATTGTCAATCAACAAGTGTTGGTGAGGGTGTGAAGAAAAGGAGACTCGCCCTGGCCAGTTTGGCTCAGCGGTTAGAGCGTCGGTCTGCGGTCCGGAGAGACCCGGGTTCGGTTCCCGCTAAGGGCACATACCTCGGTTGCAGTTTGTCCCCGGCCCTGGTGGGTCGTGCGGGTGGCGGCCACTCGATGTGTCCCTTTCACGTCGATGTCTAGAGAGACATCTCTCTATCTTCCTCTCTCTCCCTCTGACTCTATCTGTACAAAGGATGGAAGAATGTCCTCAGGTGAGGATAAAAAAAAAAAAAAAAAAAGAAAAGGAGACTCTAGTGCACTGCTGGTGGAAATGCAGACTGGTGCAGCCACTATGGAAAACAGTATGGTGTTTCCTCAGAAAATTAAAAATTGAACTGCCATTTGATCCAGTGATCCCCCTTCAAGGAATATATCCTAAGAAGCCTGAAACACCAATCAGAAAGAATATATGTACCCTGTGTTCATAGCAGCACTATTTATAATCACTAAGATCTGGAAACAGCCCAAGTGTCCATCAGCAGATGAGTGGATAAAAAAGTGGTGGTACATAATACACAATGGAATACTATGCAGCTGTAAGAAAGAAAGAGCTCTTATCTTTTGAGACAACATGGAGGGACCTGGAGAGTATTTTGCTAAGTGAAATAAGCCAATCAGAGAAAGACAACTATCACATGATCTCACTTATTTGTGGAATATAATGAACAAAATAAGCTGATGAACAAAATAGACCCAGAGACATAGCATTAGGGTACAGACTGACAAACTTTAGAAGGGGATGGAGGGTTGGGAAACAGGAAAGAGATAAACCAAAGAATTTATATGCATGTATGTGTAACCAGTGGATATAGACAACAATGGGGGTTGGGTGGGATCTGGAGGAGGGTGTCAATGGGGGGGAAAGGAGAAACATCTGTAAAATAAATTAATAAAAAAAATAAAGACAAAATAAAAGAAACTTTGAAAAAAAAATGTTTCCTCATGCTGTTGGTTGCCCCTCTTTCCTGCCCCTCCCTGACTCCTTCTCCCCAGCCAACCACTGGTTTGCTTTAGGTAACTGTAGATTAGTTTGTGTTTTCTAGAATCATATAGTATATGTATACTCTTGGGCCCAGGTCATTTCACTCAGCATTATTATTTTGATATTCATCCTTATTGTTGTGTGAAAGAAAAGGGAAAGAGTTCATTTCCTTTTGCTACTGAATAGTATTCCATTGTATGGATATACCATGATTTGTTTATCCATTCATGGGTTGAGTTGTTTCCAGTTTTTGGCTCTTACAAATAAAGCTGCAGTGAACAGTCATATGCAAGTCTTTCAAAATATGTTACCTTTTCCCTTGGGTAAATACCTCAGAGTGGAAAGGCTGGTCATATGATAGGTATAAATTTCTTTCTTTTTTTTTAATTCTCACCCGAGGATATTTTTCCACTTATCTTCAGATAGAATGGGAGGAAGGAGAGGGAGAGAGAGAGAGAGAAACAAACATTGATGTGGAGAGACACATCGAAGACACATTGATTGGTTGCCTCTCACACGACCTGACCAGGGCTGGGGACAAACTGCAACTGAGGTACATGCCCTTGGCTAGAATTGAACCTGTGACTCTTTGGCCCACAGGCTGACACTCTTAACCACTGAACCAAACTGGCCAGGGCTAAATTTTATTTTTTATTTTTATTTTCTTATCCTCACCCGAGGACATCTTTTTTATTTCCTTTATCTTCAGCAGGAGGGAGAGAGGAAGGGAGAGAGAGAGAAACTGACGTGAGAGAAACACATCAAGTGGCTGCCACCCGCACGACCTCAAAATAACTGTTATAATGTTCTTATGTGATAATTTTAACGCTGTCAGTTCTGTATTGATTTTGATTGGTTGATTATTCTCTTTGTGATGAGTTGTGATTTTCTTCCTCTTTGCATGCCTGGTAATCTATGATTAGATGTCCATCATTGTGAATTTTACTTTGTTGGTTGCTGGATATCTTTGTATTTTTTTTTATATATATATATTTTTTTATCCTCACCCGAGGACATTTTTCCATTTTTTGTTCAGGTAGAATGGGAGGGAGAGAGAGAGAGAGAGAGAGAAACATCGATGTGAAAGGAACACATCGAGTGGCTGCCACCCGCACGACCAACCAGGGCCGGGGACAAACTGTAACCGAGGTACGTGCCCTTAGCGGGAACCGAACCCAGGTCTCTCAGGACCGCAGGCCGACGCTCTAACCGCTGAGCCAAACTGGCCAGGGCGATATCTTTGTATTTTTATAAATTTTCCTGAACTTTGTTTTTGGATACAGTTAAGTTACTATGGGGCTTTGCTTTTATAGTTTGTTAGGAGTGTCTGGAGCAGTGCTCAGTCTAGGACTAATTATTATTCCCCACTACTGGGGTAGATCTTCCTGAAAACTACCCAATGCCCTGAGCATTATGAGTTTTTTAAGTCTGACTGGTGGAACAGGCACTATTCCCTACTCTGTGAGCACAAGGCACTATTCCCTGTCACCCTTTTAGATGGCTCTGTCCTTCACCTCAGGTGCTTTCCTCACAGATCTGCATAGTGCTTTGCTGTGTATTAGAAGGAGCCCCTCGGTAGGTCTCTGGAGTTGTCTTGAGCAGCTCTCTCCTCTCTGGTATTCTGTCTTGTGAACTCTAGTTGCCTTTGTATCCCTGGACTTTCAGCTGCATCTCCTCAACTCAGGGATCCACGAGGCTCCACCTCAGCTGCCCTGCCCTATACTGCTGCCTAGAAACTTTCAAGTTTCTTGGGCAGTTATAGGGCTCACCTCATTTGTTTGCCACCTGTCAAGGATCATTGTCTTTCATTGCCTGATGTCCAGTATTTTGAAAACCATTAATTTTTGTATTTTGTATAGTTGATTGGTTGATGGTTGGTTGATCTGTTTATTTACATTATTTGGTAGTGTAGGGTGGGAGGGCAAATCTGGTTTCTGGATCTTGTTACTCCATTTTTGCCAAAAACAGAAGTCCTGTCTACTTGTAATTTTATCTGAGAAGGCTCTTGTACTTGGGTTCTTACAGAAGAACTCTTGAGAGTAACCACTGGTCGTTTCCGTTTGAGAGTCTCTCTATATACATGAGCTGTAGGCTAAATTCAGATCAGCAGCCAGTAAGAGTTTTTTAAGCTGTTCTAGGGTATTAATTTGATTTTCTGACTCCCTTATCGCTGGGATTTTCTTGAACTATTTGGACCTAGAAGCTTATTCTAAATAATGATTTTATAAAATTTCTAACCATATTATGATTTTATTTTCAGAATTAAGAAAAAGAAAGAGCAGCAACGTTATGCTGAAGAGCAGAGGATAATAAGAATGAACTTTCATGAAGAGCCATATTCAAGTGAGAAGGTGAGCGAGATGTTAGCCCAGCTACAGCTTGAGGAAGTAAAAGGACCCAGAGAAAAACAGCAACAAAGAGAAAAGGAATACCAAAGGTACTTTGAAAAGTTTTGCATGAAACTCTGGATCTAGAAAGACTTTAGGAAGTTAGTGTTCTTATTATCTTTACAAGAGTTGACTGTGTCCTTTCATACTTTTGAGGGTATACCAATTTCACCAAATACCTCTTTGGAATAGCACTAGATACTGCTAGTGCTATTTTATAGTACAAAGAGGAAGAGTCAGGGCACAGAGGTGTGGAAAGTTTTAATAGTTAAAGCTGGTAGTAAAATAAGGACTCATGCTAATTCTCTTTCTAGTGGTTCACTCATTATACTGTATTTCTATAGATATGTAGAAGCTTTAAGGGCCCAGATCCAAGAGAAAATGCAGCTGTATAATATTACTTTACCTCCACTATGCTGCTGTGGTCCTGACTTTTGGGATGCTCATCCTGATACCTGCGCCAACAATTGCATTTTCTATAAAAACCACAGAGGTAAGTTTCTTCAACAAATGGTTTGGGGTCTGGTGGCAATTCTTTTAGAAGTAGTGATTGTAATAATTTAGCTTTTATTGAGTGCTTACTATATATCAGAGACTGTTAAAATCCCTTTACAAAACAACTCTGAGGCAATAAAAATGGGTTATAGTGAGTTATATTTCTCTCTGGGATTTGTTGTCGTTTTGTCTCCATTTATGCTGGGGAACTATTTCCAGCTTACTTCACTATAGAAAGACTTGGGTTCCAGGTAAATAAGGAATATTAGAGCTTGTCTTTCATGGCCATTAAGTTCGGCCTCTGTATAGGTGAAGTCCTGTCAAACACAGACTTATTACCATAGATACCAACATTAGACTGCTAGTTCTGCCAGGGGACACTGAGAAAAATGAGGACCAGTATAAATTTTGTTTTTATCAGGAGTCACAGCTAGAGAAAATGGAGTCCTTCCTGTTGTCACTAATGTTTCTGTTTCCTGTCCGTCCTTAAATAAATTGGTTTACATAGTGTAGAGATTATGTAGGCTTGATACACACACTGAAAATACTACAAGTATTTGTATTCCTAGTGCTCCATCTGTGTGATAGGAGTTTCTTGTCAGTTCTGTAAATTATATTTAAAAACACAAATCTGATGCTGACATTCCCCTATTCTCAAATCTCTAGGATTTTACAGTACAAAGTGCAATGGCATTTTTGGCATATTTTCTCTCTGGCCCCAGGCAAGACTCCAGCCTTATCAACTTGCTATTGTCATATACCAGTGCATGTCACATTTTTTGTTACATCTTTGGCACCCCACACATTGGTTCTCCTGCCTAGAATGCCTTCTTTCCTTTACTCTTATTAAGCCACCAAGACCATCTTAAATGTTCACTTCTGGAAATCTTTTTCATCCTCTCCTACATAGATTTTATTCATTCCAAACTTCACTATGTGATGACATTTTGTGTATGCCTCTGGTTTGGAAGTATTGCACTACAATTATGTTTGTCCATCCTCTCCATTATCTTTTCTGTCCTCATGGAGTGCTTGGCATATAGTAAGTACTCAATAAATATTTATTCAATGGATAGTTCAAGTTAATGCCTATGAGACTGGGTAGAGAAGCAATACTAACAGGAAAGAGATTGGGAGAGTTGTTTAGAATGTGAATTCAGCCCAGCTGGTGTGGCTCAGTGGAATGAGTGTCATCTCATGAACTGGAGGTTCCAGTTGAATTCCCAGTCAGGGCACATGCCCGGGTTCTGAGCTCGATCCCCAGTAGGGGGCATGCAGGAGGCAATTGATCAATGTTTATCTCTCACATTGATGTTTCTCTTTCTCTCTCTCTCTCAAAAAATCAATGAAAAACATAGAATGTGACTTCATTCATCACTGTGCAAACCTTTATTTGCAGCATATACCCGGGCATTATATTCAGTCATCAATTCCTGTGATATCCCTGAGGGGAACTCAACTCTTCGAGTCGCCATTCATAATTTTGCTTCTGCACACAGACGGACTTTGAAAAATGAATAATGAGAGTCTGAAATCAACTGTTAGTAGTTCAGCCTTCACTTAACATCAACTCTGAGAGATTATTTAGGAAAAGCTGTTACAATGTATAAGACGAAAGACTGTCTCACATAACAACTGTCTCTATAATTAGATCGGAACCATTGTTTCAGTCTTCACCTTGGGACCATGATGGAAAGTTGACTTCCAAACTTGTCTCTTTGCTGTGAACCATATAGAGTTTGTTTTAAAAATGATCAGTCAGACCAGTAAGGCTTATCTTACTTCGCTCTGCTCTGATCAGAAGAGATCATGAGAAATCTTTGAGATTATCTCATTTATTGTCTTTCTAAAACTGTACCTTTGAATCTTGACAAAATTGAAAATGTCTGGATGAAGCAGAAAGGAAGATGATGAAATGAGTTTCTGAGCATCAGTGGCCATCTAGGTTGCTGTTAGCTTTTGTAGTTGTGTATAACTATTAGAGATGAGAAGAATTTGAATTTGATGCACTTTTTTTTTTTTTTAACTTATTACCTCTTTCCCCATTTGGTGACATTGAACATTAGCCTTTCTAATTTTATAACTTTCATTGCCAAAAAGGAAAGGAAAATGAACCCTCTGTCTTTTGAGCATCATCTATGTGGAATAATTGTGAGTGACATTTCAAAAGTGAATCTGAAGTAAATAAAATCCTACCTTAGTTCCCAATCTTTTAAACATTTGGTGAATGGCATACCTACAGAGCAGATTAAATAAAAATTTCTATAGTTAGTATGAATTTGTTATTTCTTTATAGTACTTTCTGACATAAAATATGAAAAGCTTCAATATTGTGAATTAAAAACATATTGGCAGGTCTCACCAGTGTAACTCAGTGGATTGAACATCATCCCATGGACTGAGAGGTCCCTGTTTGATTCCCAGTCAGGGCACATGCTTGGGTTGTGGGCTTGGTCTCCAGTTGGGGGCGTGCGGGAGGCAGCCAATTGATGTTTCTCTCTCATCAATGTTTCTGTCTGTCTCTCTCTTCCTCTCTCTAAGAAATCAGTAAAGACATATTTAAAGGAAAATAAATAAAAACATACTGGCAGTTTCTTTTTCATACTTTATCTAATGATCAGTGTTGAAGAGGCACTTAGATGATGTCTCAAAAACACCTAAACATCTAGCCAGGTCACTGAAAATAAGAGTCGAAATTACCTGTGTGATAAGATTTATTGGTTATTTAACCAGATTTATTGTCCAGTTCAGTCAAAATCCTTAAGTAACTATATCTTTGATTCAGACTTTAAGAGTTGTATTTTTAACAGCTTTATTGAGATATAATTCATATACCATATGATTCACCCTTTTGAAATGTACAATTCAATGGTGATCCAGCAATCCCACTTCTGGGTCTGTATCCAAAAAAATTGACAGCAAGGTCTTGAAGAGGTATTTGCACATCCGTGTTTTTTGCAATTCACAATAGCCAGGAGGTAGAATAACCCAAATGTCCATCTAGAGATGAATGGATAAACAGAATGTGGTGTATACATAAAATGGAATAATAATACTCTTCAGCCTTAAAAAAGAAAGAAATCCTATCATATGCTTTAATATGGATGAACTTTAAGGAACCATAATCTTCTACTAAGTGAAGTAAGCCAATCACAAAAAGTCAAATGTTGTATGATTACATTTATACGAGGAACCCAGAGTACTATAATTCATAGAAGACAGAAAGTAGAATGGTCATACCCAGGGGTTGGTGGGAGGGAGAAATGGGAAGTTGTTTAATGGGTAGGGTAGAGTTTCAATTTTGCAAGATGAAAAAGTTCTGGAGATTTGTTTCACAACAATGTGAATATACTTAACAATATTGAACTGTGCACTTGAAATATGTTTAAAATACAACTATTTCTCAGTATCTGCCCCACCAGAACCCCAATCTAAGTCACCATCCTGGCTCATCTGAGTTACTGCAATAGCTTCCTAGTTGGATTTCTTGTTTCTATATATGACCCTAAAGACTGTTCTTAGCACAGCCTGAGCAGTCCTGTCAAAAAAAGTAAGATCATATCACTTGTCAAAGCTTCTTTTGGCTATTTGTTTTACACAGGAGAAGCCAGAGTCTTTAAAATGCCATACAAAGCCTTGTAAAATCCGGTCCCAATTACTTCTGAAGCTTTAGTTCCCTCCTGGCTCATTCTGCTTAGGCTCATTGACCTTGTGCTTCTCTGGACATTTCAGGGACACTGGCTTATCATTTTTTGTGTGTGGTTTTTTAAGGGATTAAAATTTTTTAAAAAATTATAGTTTATATTTAGTATTATTTTGTATTAGTTTCAGGTATACCACATAGTGGTTAGACAATCATATACTTTACAGAGTGATCCCCCTGATATGTCAAGTACCCACCTGGCACTGTACATAGTTATTGCAATATTATTGACTATATTCACTGTGCTATACTTTACATCCCCATGACCATTTTGTGGCTACCAGTTTGTATTTCTTAATCCCTTCACCTTTTCACCTAGCCAGCCAACCAAAAGCAACTGTCAGTCTGATCTCTATGTATGTTTCTGTTTTCTTTTGCCCATCAGATTCCAAATGTAAGTGAGATCATATAGTATTTGTCTTTTTCTGATTGACTTATTTCACTTAGCACAATATCCTATAGTTCCATCTATGCCAGTGGTTCTCAACCTTCCTAATGCTGCAACCCTGTAATATAGTTCCTCATGTTGTATGTGGGTGTATACAGGTTGACTGCTCTATAATTCTCTATAATTAATTTTTATTAAAAAATTTTTTTTCCCTTTATTGATTTTTAGAGAGAGAGAAAGGGAGAGGGAGAGAGAGATAGAAACATCAATGAGAGAGAACATTGATTGGCCGCCTCCTGCATGCCCCCCACTGGGGATCAGGCCCACAACCTGGGCATGTGCCCTGACCAGGAATCAAACCAGTGACCTCTTTGTGCATGGGTCGACGCTCAACCACTGAGCCACACCAGCCAGGCTGTTCTATAATTTAGTTGTAATTCTGATTTAGTCCTGGGAGGAAGTGAGTGTAACTTCCACCTACTCTGTTGCCACCTTGGATCTGCTCAGTGGCCTTTTCTTTTGGTGTTTGTTGGCTCTGTCTAGGGACACTTCTTCAGATAATGCTTGGCTCACCTTCTTACCTCTTTCAAGTCTGTGTTCATCTGCAATTTACCAAAGGGCCTTCCCTGACTATCCTATTGTAAAATTCAACCCTCTTCCCCACCCCCAAGCTTAGATATTCTTATTCTCTTTCCCTGTTACTTCCTTCATGATAGTTATAGCTCTAGGACAAACTATATATTTTACTCAGCGTTTATTTTCTCTCTTTCTACTAGGTTGTGCACTTGAAGAGGACAGGGATTTTTGTCTGTTTTTATTCAATGTTCTATCCCCAGTTCTTAAGACTATGCCTGGCACATAGTAGGTGCTCTGTAAATATTTGTTAAGAGATTTGTCTTTTAAAAACTCCAAATATTTCTACATGACTGGTAGCTTTACCTGGTGTTTTTTTACCTTTATTCAAAAGGTTTTTAGACATTTTACTTTGTTTTTCATTCTCTCATTGTGATTGTGACTGAGAAAAATAATTTAATTTGTCGGATACAGTTTTCCATAAAATAAGATGGTTATACTAAGTGACCTTCAATATCCTCTGTAGTATTAACATTTTATGAATTTGTTAATTATGTTTTGGCCTTTGACCTCACTCTCAAGTTTTCCTTTTATTGTTCTTCATGCTGAATTGTGGACTAGTGATAGATTTTATTATGCACAGTGAGATAGGGGTGGGACAAGTTCATTCTGACTTCAGCAATGATCTATCTTGTCAGAGTGGATGCAATTCAGGAGGTCACAGTGGACTAGGAGGGTAGAACAGGAGGATAAAGGAAAGTATGGGCATAAGTCCAGTAAGAAGGACACAACTCCAGGAAAGACTGCTGTTATGTTCCCTAGAGGGAACTTGATCAACTTACAGAATCCGGGCCAGGAGAAGGAACATGCATGTGATAGAAGCAGTGTCAGAATTATGGTGGTGGCCGAGGATATTCATGTAATCGTTTTCCTACAACAACAAAAAGCAGAAAGCTGATGCACGACATGCATACTTTCCTGCACAGTCCAATCTAACAGCTTGCGCCGGTTGCTTTATTTCAGTCAACTATGTCCTCTTCCTTGCATTATTCCAGTTTATTACTTAATTGTCCAGACCTCACCCTTGCCTTTTATGAGGGGCAGGAATAAGATTGCCAACTTTTTTTTTTTTTTAAGAGAGAGGAAGGGAAAGAGAAAGGGAAGCATTGGTTGGTTGTCTTTCACGTGCACCCAACCAGGGATCAAACCTGGGCATGTGCCCTGACTGGGAATTGAACCGGCGACCTTTTTGTGCATGGTTCAATGCTCCGACCAACTGAGCCACACCAGCCAGGACAATTGCCAACTTTTTTGTACTACCCACTGGGTGAAGAGGCTAGAAACTGCTGCTTTTATGTCTTCTAACCATTTAAGGTGTGATAAAGGAGGTAGCAGTTATTACTTTTCTGTGTTTATTTATTTAGATTGTTTTTGGAAACAAAATATTTCCTTTAGTTTTCCTTTAAGTGTAGCGAGCATAATTTATTTTGTGTCCCATCTTGGGTATTTTTCCATGCTTCTCAGAAAAAAATGATTTGGAAGATTGGAAATATTATAGAGGAGGATAAAAGCAAATGTTTTTCTGTGACATGTTAGGTCCATTCTTCTGGGTGAAAGACGTTGAGTATGTTGACTTAGATTTTTAAAGCGTCCTTAAGGTATAAATGAATGACCTGTCTGCGGTCTTGTTCTCAGTATTACTGACCACTACTTGAGGGGTTTATATGTCAAGGAGAAGTCAAATTGATTCCTTTTAAGACAGTTTGGTGTGATGTTGCCTGAGTCATCATTCCTTCCAGGCTCCTAAGATGAGATCATCCTCGATAGAAGTAACACTCAACTCTCACCTCCGGTTCCTTCCTCATCCCAAAACACCTACCGCAGTCATTAGTGGATGAAACTATTAGACACTACGTCCTGGAACCCACATCCATCCTCCATCACTAAACCTGAGAGAAGCAGACCTTGCGCCTCCTGAAGTGATGTGGTGTGAAGCACACAGTGCCTTCGGTGACCTGTGGTGGCCCCTCCAAAAGTTGGAACTCCATAGAATCAAACCTTGAAGGAGTTTTCA